CAATCCCTTAGAAGTATAACCGTAAATTTTCAGCTTCCCATAGGCCCTATAGGAAGCTGAAAATTTTTCGAAAACTACCGAATTTAGCTTTTCTTGTTTGGGTGTTCCATGCTATAACATTTCTCAAAAACTAGGCCTGTGAAATGACGAAGATTTACGGTTGCACTTTGTAGGGCTTGTGATATTAGGTTGATGCAAAGCGTTTTTAATGAGCTTTTTTCTGGGATTTCTTTCAGGGCAACTTTTCTCCATCAAACTTCTTATTTTAGGACAGATTTAACATACTGTTGAGAAATTCTTCTCATGTTTTATCTAACAATGTCTGAAGCGGGCTTCTAGCCTAGTCTGTTAAGAATTTATTGAGCTTTAAATGGCCGCCTCAAAATCGGATTTTCGTTGCATTCACTTTTCCAACCAGATTTTGAGCGCAAATGAGCGCGTTCTTTCGAAAATTTAGCCACTATATGTAGTAGAAATTGCCTACATTACGGGCACTCAAACATATTTTTTGAAGTAACTTAGATTGGGGTATCGGCGGCTCAACATGGGTAATGGTTATGGTCATTCTATAGCCCATAACTCTTTTGTAGAAAGCAATCGCTAAAGCTTTGCTCGTTTCTGTAAGCGTGAGAGTAGGGCATCCTGTTGACAGTTTTCGCATAGACATTTAGGTGTTTAGAACGCAGAAAATCAGAAAATTCTATAAGTCGGTGTTTTGAGGTCTTCTGAAAAATGCTGAAAATTTGATATTCTTGAACCATGATTTTTTCCTCTTCGTCAATTTTTTTCTCCAAGCCCTTTCCACGTTCGTTTGTGCTACTGGCTTGCGGCCACAAGATAGGCTGCTTATAAATTATACTGACAAACTGAGAAGGGATTTATGTTTTGTGAGAAACGAAAATTAAGGAAAAAAAACTATTTGCTTTTCAAATCATGTTTTCCTGCCTATGTATCTTATAAGCACAGTTTAATGAGCGTTGTAATGCGAAAGGTTTGCTACATCCGATGGTTTTTACCACATTTCAAAATGTGGATATTGTAGAAAATTAGAAATTCATAACAGATTTTGACAGATTTTGCCTTTCGCTGAGCCTTTCAACTGTCAACTGTAATCAACTGTCTCCACTAGCCTCTACAACCTGACGCACCTGCAACGCGAGGGCTTTGCCAGCGGACCCCAACGGACAGCGCCCAGTACGCATTGAATTGCATTTGCAAAAGCGAGATCCCCATGACTTCGCGGAATTTCTTGAAGTCCCTTTTAACTCAGAACCAGTGAGAGAACCTTTATTCCATCAACATAACAATATAAAAGCAAAAAAGCATATTTCGAAGTATACTCAATATAACAAAAAAACAAGATTGGTACCTTTTATTCTTCATTATCTTGAAAACCCCTAAAACATTCAACCAGATCTGTAACCTGCAAGAATTTGTCGATGCATATGTCCCCACTTAGTTCGAAGGACCTCCTGACACGCATGTGATTGGGGCGCGATATCCATCAATGCGTATGTTTACAGTCTGCCCCAATCCCAACCAGGCCAAAACTGGCATGGCGGGAACCCGTGCCGCGAAGGTACTGCGTCACATCTACGGCTAGGCAGTCTGCTCCCTCCTCAATCGCTTCGCTCTCTGCAACAGCGCGCGTATGCAGCGCAGACCCTTAGCGTTGCGAGCGCGCAATTTCAGCCGATGGTTCGGCCTGATTCCGATTGGGGCAGACTGTATACTACTCTTGGCTCTGACTCAAGGGGAGGCAATGGCTTGATTCGCTCTCTTCACTACACGATAGAGCTTTGAGTGTTCTAATCATCCAATCAGAAAGGTCCAAAATTTATGTGAACTTCCCGATAGTCATGCTCCGATGGTCTAGAAACCAAAAAATTCGGAAACGCGTATCAGATCACATAAATTTTGGTTCTTACATAATGTAATTTGGAGTAACTACACATAACCCAATTTCGGTGTCATGTATTTGCCAGGAGCTGTAAACAATCCAGTCGTTTGTTTGGGTCTTGCACTTGAAATTCGCGCGCTTGCGAGAGAAACCGGGACTCCGCCCCGGATCCTATAAGATATTCCTTTGTTATTTAACCCAAAATCGAAGTTCATTTTGACACTAGACCCTATCTGTGCCGATCCCTGCCAATCAGTGAGGCCGGTTTGAATGCTCAAGCTAAACGCGCGCGAACGTGGCGCAAAGTTCTGGCGTGTCGATTGCGCGAGGAGAGGAGTACAGTCTGCCCCAATCCTAACCAGGCCAAAATTGGCTTGGCGGGAGTGCGCGTCGCGAGGGTTTCGCGCCACTTCTGCATCTAGCTAGTCTGCTCTCTCCTCAATCTATTCGCTCTCTGCGACAGCGCGCGTATGCAGCGCAAACCTCTAGCGCTGCGAGCGCGCATATTCAGCGGACGGTTCGGCCTGATCCCGATTGGGGCAGACTGTACGCATTGGCGCAGAGTGTATATGCCTCAAAGGATTTCGCAATTAGAAGCGCGGATTCACAATTCGGGACTCAGCGAGAACATCTTTTTAGCGGTCTTCTGTTTTTTCTTGACTTTATCTCTTCACTCCGTTCAATCTTCGTTCTGTGCGATTCGAACAATCCTCAACGAACAGCTCGAAAGATCGTAATCCTTTGCAAAGTCAAGGGAGACTCTGCTTTCGTTAAAGAATTATTAGTAAAAACAACATTGTTCAAGTAAAAACATTATAAACCTAGAACAAATAATCGAAGTACGACTTTTACAGTCGCTTCATTTCATTTGATCATGTGTGCCATTGCATACACAGTCCACTTTGGCGTCCTCATCCTGGATTTGCAATCGCAAAAACGCAAGAGACTTACCGATTGTTATCGATTACATCAATTTGAGGTGACTAATAACTAAAAAGGAAAGAAAATGCTAAGAACACTTTGGAAACACTTAGCTGAAGGCTTGTTTCTCCCACGAATCCAGGATGGGGACGCCAAAGGTGAACTGTTTGTGCAATGACACACATGATCATATGAAATGAAGCGACTGTACACGCATTTGTTATCTCCAATAATCTACGCTCGCTAATATTGCCTAGGTAAACCCTTGCGTTAATCTTCATTTTTGATTTAATTGAGGCGAATTTTGATCGATTTGGCAATGAGATGCTGTGTTTTGTTTTTGTCCAAAGTTATTTTCTAATTACAGTTTTAACACTCCTTGGCAATCCGTAACTTTGGAAAAACTATATCGATAAGTTTGAGAGAATTAACCGCTCCCAAATTTTTGAGGCCGCGAGCTGGTTGGATGCTGATCTGAATTGGAAGATAGAATGTTAGTCGCAAAAATGAGATAGAAAAAGGAAGGACACATTCTCAGATTAATACCGATGCGACTAAACTTTACAGACATTTCTGCTTGTGAGAGAATCCTACTATAATAACGCGCTAAGAGTGTTTACGTGTTTTTGTGTGTGTGTGTGTGTGTGTGTCTGAATGTCTGTCTGTCACGAAATTCATAGAACGTGTTCCAGCCAATCTCCTGAGCCCAAATTTTGCACAGCACCTGCTACAAACATGAGAGTCTACTATACAAAAGCACGAGCGGATCCATTGTGTGGATCCTTCAAAAAAATGCGCGTCAACCGGATCCACTTGGCTTTTGGCCAGTAAAATTGAGTCTGTAGCGCAACTTTTTGCAAATTCACGGATATTTTTGACATGTTAATGTGCAAGCCATGGTCTTTAGCCTAAAAAATTGAACTAAAGTTTATTACTTTGCGAAAACGGCGCCAAAAAGAATTGGTTGCGTAAATGTTTGAGAAGATTTTTGCACAGATATGTAGCCCACGCTAATTATGGCATCTTATCGCGAATATCAAGCCATGAAAAGTCCAAAAACCGATTCAAATTTGCATTTGTTCTTTCGAGAAAACTTTCATTCATGCGAAATTACCGATCTCATATGGAGAAGCTTTTGGAATGAATAGTTGTTTACAAATCATTCGTGATAGCCTGCATAGCGCGGTGAATTCTAATGTCATTATTGTGCGAGAATGAGTAAGGCATACAGATAGTAGGGCCAGTGCTTCACCTCTGCTTCGCAGAGGTGAAGCACTGGTATAAGATAAGAGAATATTATCCTGCAACGAACTGGAGTCGGATCAATTCTCACAATCACTAAACTTAGACATGCTTTAGTTGAAAAAGCAAAAAAAAGAAGGGTAGACATGTTCAAACTAGCACTCGACGAAGTTGACACATATTAGCAGGTAAACAAGAATTTGACTACGGGTGTAATTGTGTCAGTTGTATACTACTAACAAACACGAACTTGACATGGGTTCGAACTTCGAAGCCTGAGATGGGACATTCGAAGGTATCAGCCCCATGGTCGATATTTTGCTTAGATATTTATTTGAAAGTGATGAGGTTATGATTGTATCCTTTCCTTCACACAGACCTCCGCCAGATTATGCACATATATTTTGCAGACAGAAGTCATGGTTAGCTTCTGTAGCTTCACTAAATATCGAAGAAACATTCAGAAAACACTGATGTTTGGCACCTGCCAGATGAAACTAGACAAAGTCATTTCCACAAAATGTCAACAAGAACAATACAGCTCATTTCAACGTGGCAAGTGATGGACTAAGTTATGAGCTGCAGATTTTCCGTATCTCAATCATCGCTAACTCCGAAAACTTAGGCGGAGAGTGTAAATGTTAAAAAAGGAGATCCCCAAAACCTTCATGCTGGACAGAATCATTGTGGGAATCTTTGGTCATGATGTGTACACTGATGCGCCTTAGCGTGCAGTGGAATCGTGGGCGGGATCGGCACAGGGAGGCGCGATCCGCAACACTTCAACAACTAGGCTTTGTAGATGCGCTTTTTTGCTCCAAACTTCATAAATAGCTTACAATTAGTAGAGAGGAGGGGAGGGGGGGGGGGGTAGCTTGAGAATGTGACAACCCCACTTTGCCGAGACGCTGCCTTCTAGAAGATGCGCTGACTTCCTATTCCGATCTGTTCCGCGAATAAGGAGGTACCGGGCGAGACCAGGATCATCAGCTTATAGGTTGATGGAGACGAAGTAGGAAGTACAATCTGGCAATCTTTAACCACAATCAACAAGTGATACAAGTGATCGGTATCATGCATGTTAAACTATACTTAGTCTAGCGAGTGAAAAGCCGTTATCTTCTTGTATTTGTGCAATATTCTTGCCAAGCAAAGAAACAGCATTCTCGAAATTCTCCCTACCAGAGCGCCAACGCGTCCAGTACAAAGGTAAACTATAAATGCGTTCTATAAATATGGCAGATAAAAGTAACGCACCATACCTCTTGTTCTTCTTGGGACAGTAGATGGAAGATGTGGATGCACACGACTGTAGGGGGTACCGAAGCGTATAATCTAACAATTGCGAGATGCTCAAAAGAAAGTGCACTACATGACCAAGAGCAGATGAAACCTCCACACTCTCATGGGAACCTGAACATACAGTGAGGATTGTGACATTATTCTTGAGGTTATTCTCCAGTTTCCAGAATAATTGGGAAAAAATGAAAAAATTCAACTAACTTATCAAATCCATTAAACTAGATTCTGATTCGTGAATACTTAAACAATCATCATCATCATCATCGTTTGAAGAGATCAAGCGGACCTGCAACCCATCGCAATCTAACGAGAAGTAAAGAATATATTACTCAAACTTGAGATTGAAGTCAAGTCATGTGGTGCTTCTAGAGGGGTAAATTAAGCTGGTGAACTCAGCCCTAATTCAGCTCGATGATACTACCAATCCTACTGCACCAAAAAGGTCCTGATATCTTTCGAATGAGACGCAAAATTACTTGCAGCTACATAAGAAGTAAAGTCGTGAAAGTAACAGTTTTTAGAATCAATCCAAAAAGCTTATAATTCAGTTGACTGTGCGAGAAGAATTTTTCTAACCGTGACTACCCGCGCCCTCTCGTTTCACACGTTAAAGGCAGTGTCTCGACAGATTTTGCATTTTCAGCTTTCTACATGTTACAGGCCTTGCCGACAGTAGAACCCAGATATGAGCTTTAAACCAGGTGAAAAGACCATTTTTAGAGAGCTTCTCAATTTTCAAAAGGCAGCTTGGACGAGAGTCAATAGAAAGTTGGGAGGACCTGATATGGAGACCTTGTCCTGTATTTTTGGCTTAATTAGCATGCGCAAGCGGTCTTGGGGTCCCGCCGAAGAGGTAAGCAAAATCGTCCAAGGGCGCGCCGGTTCGAGGGCTTTTTTCTCAGCGCAGGGGTGACATCGACCAGCCGGAGTGGGCCTGGAGGTTAGGTGGGATGACCAGGCGCCACTACAGCCATATCCCACGAAGCGTGGATCTGCCGGGACACTGTCTTTAAAAGCACCGTCCTCCCTAAGTTGGGGGTCTTGAGCTTTTGGCAGCATATGATTAAGGGCCCTCTATCAAGCGAATGCCCAAGACGCGGCGCAAGATGTCGCTTCGGAAGAGAGAAAATCGCTCCGGAAAAACGAAGATGCACGAGGACCCGCAGACGGCACCGCCCTCCCCCCCCCCTTTTTCGGCAGCACAACGTCTTCTACCAACTCCCCTGCAGAGTCGTCTAAATTACTATCGTTGAACACCTTTACGCTGAAACGGGCAGCATAGGCGAAAGTGAGCAGCATCCATGGCAAAGCAGAATATAATGGGAGTATAAAATATTGCCTTCGGTGCGCTAGCGTAGTTACGGCACATTCCGAAAAGTCTGAATTATTGCCGATATTGAATTGAAAATGAGCAGCTGTCAAAAGAAAAGAAAAGAGTAATGATAACTATAAAAAAGCGGAAGCGAAGTGATTTCCCCTTTCCCTGTGGCGTCCTTTGGTGAGAACGGTAGATATACTGTGGCTTTTATAATCTCACAACGCACTACGCCGAATACAATAGCTGAAGCGAGGCGAATTATCACACTGAGGTGTTACGATAAATATAGGTACTCGTTCAGACTCACTGCAAATCATGGACAATGAATGGATTATTATCTGTCACCACACACGACTTATAGTTGATATTTTTGCAGACTTTGAGGTTTTTACTTCACCATTTACTACGACAAACTCACAAAAAAGGCGCTTCCATGCTGAATGTGTCTTTCTCGTCATTACTGTCCAATTATACTTAGGGTTCCAACGTTATCTGAGTTGTGCGATTTTGGGTAATGTAAATTGGAACAACGCCGACTAGCTATATCATTACTACAAAGGAAGTGTAGCCCAACTTGATAGCGTGCCATCTTCGTTTAGATAAAGCTCTGGTGTGTGTGTTCCGAACAGAAAATTTTATTTTCTAAACCGATACGGGCTAAACTTTGCACACATACAACATCGGGAGGCGCGGGTGTCGTAGCCTACTTCTCGTGATCGGTCAATATTGATTTTATTGGTTTTTCAATAAGTTTGAGCTACCGGTTGGGCGGAACTGGGTTTCCTAGCAAGTGCCTGTTAACAAAAGCAAGCAAAATCGAGGGCGCAACTGTAGATTTCCATAATTTCAATATAGAAAAAAACCTACGACCATATGCAAGATGTCCGAAACTTCTATAAGTAAAACTCGTCGTCTCATTACAGTCGCATGCGTAAACACATTTAGCACTTTTCTGAAATAGCCATTTTACGTATACATCTAAGAAGGAATTTCCAATGCAAAATTTACATTCTAGAGTCGAGGGTAGAAGTTCCACTATCGCAGTGCATACGTAAAGTTAACAGTCCTTCTCGCAAGTCCTCTTGGGCTTTCTGTAAAACTATTCCATTTTCCACATGTTCAAACATCAGCCACGACACGACCTTCTCCTCAACATCCTCGTTTGCTTTTACAACGCTAAGGCGCTTCTTCGTACATATCCTCTTCAGGTGCTCCACTGCCTTATGCCGACGACTGATTGCAATGCGGAGATTCTGGATTTCGTGAACCTGCAAGCTGAAAGACTTTAGTCCGACAGTTTGGAGAGGTGAGAGTTGTTCGCACAATTTTCCGAAGAAATCAAAACGTTGACGACGAGCCACTCTTCATGTATGAACCACTTTTTCGTTTGTTTTATGTATGGTTTGCATGTATGCGCAGAGTCAAGAGTAGGGTGTGGCACGCCACACCTGGGAGGTCGTATTGTGGGGTCAGGGAGAGGGGGGGGGGGGCGTTATCGAGGTGATAGTGATGCTGGCGACATGATATCCGTCAACAATGTTAGATAGGCCCATTATGCTAAATACTAGCATTGATGATTTGGCCGTATGCGTACCATTTGATTTAACTGGCTTTTTGGCTCCGGAAAGGCGGGGCTCCGTGACCTAATTAAGGCTAGCTAGTGATCAGAGAGCACCCCCGCGAGGGAGACGCAGGTGCGTCGAGGGCGCGAGCCCTCAATCACGTCGCAAAGCCCCGCCTTCGCGAAACCAAGCCAGTTGAATCAAAGGTTACATTAAGTATGATAAAAGGACTCTAAAAGCAAATTAGCATCTCATTTAAACCTGTGGGCCAAATTTCAGCAGATTTTGAGGTTTCCAAATACTAGGCCACCCAAATTAGATGGTCATTTTTGAACAAGTTAACTTTGTTTCAGAGGTAAGTAAAATACTCCTTTTTGCACTCAATACAAAATACTACTACTTCTTTGCTCATATTAGGAATCCCACTTTAACCAATCTCCAAATGGAATTAAGATGCAAGCCACAACGTTTGTTCCACTGTTTTCAATATCTCAGACTAGAGAACCGATCAGGCTCAAATCACTTTTGTGTAAATTACAATGCTTCGGCTATCGAATTTATTTGTTCTTGTTGCCTCTCCTCGCGATTTACATAGTAGCCAGAATTAGCAAATTACCGTAACCCAATCTTTTCGCAGTGGTCTCCATTTGCATAGGTAAGGAGAAACAACCATATCTTCCGTTAGGAGGAACAACTTTGTATGAAATTCCTGCCATGTGGAGAAGGCAGCCACAGCTTTTCTGGGGTTGTGCCACACCCCATTAACTTACTTCCAAAGTGATAATTTACCGAATAAGCTATATATGATTCGATAGCGAAAATTTCGTAGTTTTTGTAGAAGTGATTAGAGCTGAATTCGTCTTTTTTTCGTTTGAACAGTAGTTGCTGGAAGCACAACCACCGTATGCTAAATGGGACAAATGAGATTTTCGCTGGCTCCTTGAAGCATGTGTTTAGGGTATGAGCAAATAGGGAGCAGTGTTTTGTATTGAGTACTACAAGAGTTAGCTAACTCACTTTTGGAATTTAGTTAATCATATTTGAATATAACCACTTCACTTGGGTAGCTCAATATTGCAAATCCTTAAAACTGCTAACACTTGGCCCATTATTTGACATGTTAATCACGAATCTTATATATACAAAGCTGAATGTCTGTTTGTCAGTATGTCTGTATGTCTGTCTGTCTGTCTGTACGTATGTTCCAAATTCAAAATTTTATTCCTGAACCGATACGGACCAAACTTGGCACACATACACTTCGGGGCCGGGCGGGTGTCATAGGCTACTTTCCGTCATCGATGATATCGATTTTATTGATTTTTCAGAAAGTTCGAGCTACAGGGCTGGGAGTTGGCACAGGGGGGTAAGTGAGCATGCTGATTACGGATATATTATTGACAGGGCCGGCGGAGCCGGGCTTGCCAGCTATATGTTATTAATTATGCTAGGGAGAGCCTTTATGTCATTCCTAAGGCAGACTATAAGGGGACAGGGGGGAGGATTGAGACAGAACTAGATGGGTGGGGGTCGTACCCGGCGGTTGCGGGCCACACTTCTTGCTCGACCCTGTGTTATATGTGCATGCATCTAGTATGCTAAACATCTATACAAAGCCGGTGTGGCAGCTTAGCCCCCTCCCCCACCTCCTCGTGGCAAGCTCCGTCCACTTGACTATGCCAAAGTTTGGTTTTAAAATTTTGTACAGAGTTCTTCGTTTTTGGTAAAGTGGGTGGGCATGGCCTCAGACGGAGCTTACTTCTCACCACATAACTGCGTTATCGTACGTGGATGTGAAACGCAATGAGCAAACCGGATGATACCCTACGCGAAGTCGTCCCATTATCCGTCGTAACCCCTCAAGATGGTTTTCGAGAAGACAGCTGCCGCTTCCATGTACCATCTACACCATATATTACCGTTTACTTTTGTTACATCCAAATTTATGATGGGGCTTGTGCGATTGCTGGTAGCTGCTTATAACAATTGGACCTATTTCTACATCAATGTCCCGATTTATACTTGTTCAAACTTACTCTTAATTAGGTTTTTCGTCTCACAAGGGAAGTTTGGTCAGTCGAAGTGCTTTCCAGATAGATCCTATACTACTTCGAAGAGCATTAAACGCTGATTCCAAATCTGTTTTCCTTATCTACCAAGCTTCTTTGTACAGGCCTTGTAAAATCCAATTGCCCCTGCGTCGCTTTGAACACCAACGCGCGGCACGACTGGAAACGCTTGGTCCCGAAGCGCTACAGGCTTTTTGCGAGCGACAATGAGTGCGCACCCCTTCCACACATATTTGTTAAACCTTTGAAGGGAGCTTTCGTCAAGGTATACCTTGCATTGACGAGAACAACATGAAGTTAAAGAAGGATAAGAAGAAGATCTGCGCATCCCAGCCTCAAAAAGGCGGTTATAAATAACATGTATCGGACAGCAGCAAAAATGTCTTCGGGCATGCAGGAGCGAATCTACTCTATGGAGTTAGCTTATCAAGTAGCTAAGTCTAATGGATGTGCTGGTGAGCCTATCCCAAACCCTCGCAGGTTTGCAGGACGCAGAGCCAGTTCCTGCAGCTCGGATGCGCCACTTACAAAATCGCTTTTTGCTTGCCGTTCGTATCGGATAAGATAAGCGCGGCAGTGCGGCGATACGTACATCTCGCGGGTTTGCAAGACGATGTCAGGGTGGTCGATATACCACCGTCGAACTAAAGCGTCAATTGGTCCGAAATCGATCATACGATCGTACATGCCTAACCCCAGCTTGTGTCGTTTGCCCATTTGGCAAAGAGGGTGATTGCATGATCTCCTGGGTTATCTATCTCATCACATGTTTATCGTGTGGTGATATTATCGGAGAGACAGGACGACCCCTTTGCTGCCGCGTTAAAGAACATCTGCATGGGTTGAACAAACCGAAAGCAGCTACGCCGTTAGGCAGCCATCGCATTTCGTGTCATGAAAATGCTGAGATTAGTATTGGAGTGACTATATTAGCGTACGAGCTCGACCTCCTAGCGCGCGAAACTTTGGAAGCGTTCTGGATCAACGCCAAGAATCCAAAGTGAATTGGAGGGAAGAGTGCATAGCCATCACTAATGAACTGGCGCCATATCCCTTTGTGGGTTTTGATATGAGGTCAGGTCACCCGAGCACTATGAATAGGGAAGGAGGTATAGTCTGAATATATGGTGGTCTAACACATCATCACACGTTATCAAAGGTGAGTCCTGGATATCCGATCTCCCTTTGCCTTTTGTACTCTCACCAATTTGATTTTCGTCTTGAGCTAAGATCTTGGCGTCTAGGACAATATTTCACTTATGTTTTCGACTTTCTAGGCTCTGACGAAGACGATCCCGCCGAAGCGTTGGCCGTGAATAAAGTGTGGTTGATATCTTGGTCAACGCTCAGCAAGCTCAAGCGACAGTGACACCGACAGTCGTTCGCGACGACCGCTCGCTTACGCTGGTGATCAAGGCACGGCGCGGGCAGTTACTCCAATTTCACGCGTATAAGGCGCGGAGGATTTTTCTCCAAAATCGACCAGCCCAGACAAGCCAAAGGACTTTACAACCAAAGGACCCTATAACGTGCTGCATATTGCTTGAGAGTTGTGCGATGTAAGGACTTTTTTTTTCCGGAAAACCGTGAAGCGGCTGAGCGGCTCGCTTGAAAATTCGAAAAAAGTGCGCCTTATACGCGTGAAATTAGAGTGGGTTTTACGGCGCCTATACATCGAGTCACGAGTTTTTTTTTTTGAACGAAAAGTAACGCAGAATCTAGATGAAATCAATTGTCACCTTCTCAGTGCTTAAACAGAGCTTTTTTGAGTATGAGTGTATTGGACAAGAGGTACCCATTAAAAGAAGTATTGTGATAATTAATACTAGACATGTGAGCAATTCTGGACGATTTAGTTTCAGTTGCGAATTCGATTTTTCAGCCCAAGAAACGGTCATATCTCGGCGTTCAGAGGCGCTGGCAGATATCAATGCTGATGACAGATTTGGCACCATCGTTCGATGTTCTTGAAAGTGGCGTATGCGCTTTTCCACTTATCATTTTCGACTTAAAAAACGCGTCATGTTTACTTGAAGTGCCCAAAGTAAAGGTGTCCGTGTTGTCTATCCCCTTCCCACATACCCACTTAAATTATATGAAGCTGATGATATTGGCAAACAATTGCTAGAAAACACTAAACAAAACAAACAAGTCCAGCAAAATCCGTACTGTGAACTTCCTGGTTACAAGTCGAATAGTTTGCGGCAATCTTCACTCACACTCAGAAAAGTGGAAAAATGACTAACATATTTGTGTGCTTTAACGAGGTGGTAAAGATGGCCACCTTCTTGTAACTGCCGTCTTTGTTCCTCCAAAATCTCTCGCGTGGAGCGTATCGCTAGCACTACAGTTCTCAACCTAAAGATAGACATTATAAATTATTATTGCTATTATTATTGCTAAATAGCCTCCCAATAAACTTTCAGATTTATTAAAAAAAACTAACAACTGATGAGCACTGTTAGACATGAGCATGACGAGTGATAGTGCAATATAACAAATGCAGATAATCGGGTAGACGCTCATATGAACTGGTTATGCTAGTGTGCAACATCAGCACCAGCACCATACCGAAATCGTTGCACTGAAGCGTTTTGGAACAAAGCTTCCCAGGCAATCCTATCTTCGAAACATGGGCACAAGATATGGTGTTTTGCAAACATTAATGCAGGTTTTTTTTTCGACTGGTCTCACTTCAGACGTGAGTAGCTTGGACAGTAAGAAAATGTGTTGTTTCCGAGGAAACTTGCATAAGACAACTTAAATCAAGTAGAGAAGCTGTGTAGAATAGTGCCCAGACGAGAAGGAAAAGCTTGCAACCATACGAGAGCAGCGAGCTAATTTAGATGCCACACTTTAGCAAATGTAGATGCGATCCTAAAAACCAAAAATGGGAGTTTCAAACTTAAAATTTTTGTATCTCACTAGAGACGCAACGAAACAGTCTGAAACTCTTAAGATAAAAAGTAGGAGGATGTCCTGACACAATAAAATTGTAGCAAACAAACTACCATAGCTCCTAGGTTTAGATGCGACCCAAATACGACCCTTTTTTCCATTTTCTGTTGTCATACATAAAATATTAGGTTGGTCCGAAAGTTCTTGCGCATCACTTTCAAAAAATCATAACTTCCTTGCCACTCAATAGATTTCGTTGAAATTGCATCTGTTTGAAAAAGGAATCCATGCTCTTTACAACCGTACCTTCGTCATGAATTACTTTGAGAAACTACGAGAGTTACAAGCAATTGAAGGAAATCAGTCAAAATTGACATTTCTCGAGCTGGGTCACAAAAAATTCTGGAAGTATTTTTATGTGATAGAGAAAATTATGCTATTACAATGGTACTTTTCCCATGAGTTGAAACGAAAAAGATCGAGAGTTAGAAGCAAATGAAGAAAATTCCTTCAGTTTTGCAATTTTTGAGCATGCTCAAAAAAGCTCGAAAACGTCACAGAAAATGCGGAAAACTCATGAACGTGAGTATTGTGACAATCTCTTTCTAGGTGAGCAAGTTTCGAGCTAATCGAAAGCAATTTTGTTTTTCGTGATTTTTTCGGATTTTCAAGCCTGCATTTTTCACGAAAGTCAAAAATGCTCTCGATTAGCTCGAAACTCACTCAGCTAGAAAGAGAAGGTCACAAAACCTATGTCCATGACTTTACCGCATTTTCTGTGACGTTTTCAAGCTTTTCTGAGCATGCTCAAAAAATGCAAGACTGAGGAAATTCTCTTCATTCGCTTCTAACTCTCGATCTTTTTCGTTTCAACTCATGGGAAAAGTACCGTTGTAATGAGCATAATTTTCTCAATCATATAAAAATACTTGCAGAATTTTTTGTGACCCAGCTCGAAAAATGCTAATTTTGACTGATTTCCTTCAATTGCTTGTAACTCTCGAGGTTTTTCAAAGTAATTCATGGCGAAGGTACGGTTGTAAAGAGCATGGATTCCTTTTTCGAATAGATGCAATCTTAACGAAATCCAACGAGTGGCAAGGAAGTTATGATTTTTTGAAAGTGATGCGCAAGAACTTTCGGACCAACCTAATATAAGTAAAACCACAGGTTATGGAATAACAGCAGATTTTGCACAAATGTTTTCGAGCATCCCCAAAGAACAGCTGCCCATTCGAGTGTGTGAAGCTCCAGTGAAGTTGGAGTCATTTTTCTACCTGCTAGAAAGGTTTTTGTGTTGCCATACATATAATACAAGAGAAACCAGTGACAATCTAAGCTCCCCCCCCCCCCAGTCTGTTTTGGAACATGGGCAAGAGGTGTGTCATTGAAACCTGGCTCCTAGCCAAAATCTTTGAAATGGTCTAAAAAAGATGAATTAGGCTAAAACGAAAAAGAGAAGCCGAGTCATCATTAGAAAGTATTAGGTTGTCCCAAAAGTTCTGTCCTTTCATTTTTGAAAACTTGTAACTTTGCAATATCTCAACGAACTTTCTTTCCTAGTTTCTAATACACACTGACTGCAGAGATAAAAATGAAAAAAAGACCTTATAAACTTTGGTCATTTTAAGTTAGGTTGCCAAAAGTCTGAAAGCTGTGGAAAAATCTGAAAACGTGAGTGCACAGGTTTTCTGACCTATTCTTCGCAACGGTGAAAGGTTTGTGCTGTCTGGACATTTCTGTAAAAAGTTACGAATTTCGACTTTACTATAGAAAATGCCAAAATTAATTAATTTGACATTTTTCACGAAAATCATAACTTTTTACACACACATCCAAAGAGCACAAGCTTTCACATTTGTAAAGAGTAGGTCAAAAAACCTATGTACTACGTTTTCAGAATTTTCCACAGCGGTACAGGTTTTTGACGACCTAACTTCAAATTACAGAAGTTTATATGGTCTTCTTTTTGCATTTTTATCTCTGCAGTCAGTGTATATTAGAAGCTAGGAAAGAAAGCATTCGAAAGCGGAAGGCTAACTCTTTCAAATATAATTACAAGGATGCAAATCCGTTGAGATAGTGCGTTACAAATTTTCAAAAATGAAATAACAGAACTTTCGGGACAACCTGATAATCACCCTTATTTCACGCGTAGAGGACGCGGGGGATTTTTTCCAGCGAACAGCACAGACAACGAAGGATTTCGCGAACAAAAAAATATATACAGTGCTGCATATTGCTTGAAAGTATCGTGCGGCATAAGCAGGGTAGAGCGTGAGGTCAGGCGCGCCCGAGCCGGAGGGTCGTATTGGGGTAAGAGCATGGGGGGGGGTCGTAATTAGGAAGCGACTTTGTTCAAAAAATTGAGGAAATATTACGATTGAGTAAGCTGAAGAGGAAAAGCGCTCAACCGTGAAACTCGCAACTCCACCAGAGGAGTGAGTGTCGTGAATAGCACGCTGATTAATTCGACTAACGAAGTCAACCAAATTTAATTTCTTTTACCTTACACACACCGTAGGGTCACCAAGCAGCTTTTTATGTAAATCGGGTACGATTTCCGTAATCAGCATGCTAAATTACCTCAAAGAGCTCCACAAACCAATCTACTAATTTTCTAGTGTTTCCCGACGTCTAAAAAGCATGATTTCCAAACATGAATAACTTGGTCACAAAAGTGAAAGAAGTTTGCTTTTTTGTACTCTTAACGATGTATTACTCCTTATCAGTCTAGGATAGAAGCTAAACTTCATATCGCTTTCAAATAATGGATTAAGAAGTGGTGCCACAATGTTAGTCACCGTGTTCTCTGCCTCGAGTGCTTCAACTCCACCGATCACTACAAAGAACAAGTCGTGATAAGCTCAAGCACTTACTGTAGAATCTCCGAGATTTATGCTAACGAATCATATAGAACTGAGGTGGAAAAGATGCTTCGGTGAGAAAGTTAATCGGGTCAGGCGCAACCCCTCAAAAGGTCAGGCGGCCTGAGCTTTTGAGGGGTTGCGCCTGACCCCCTTAACTTGCCTTCAGAATCCAGAAATCACTCTCTTCCTGGTATGAGTATTGAACTCATAGCTTCTTCTTGCTACAATGGAAATTTGGAGCCGAACGCCCCACCTTCAAGACAATTATGGTCCTTTCAATGGACCCATTCAGATCAAAATCAGCCGTCAAATTACGTGTGATTGTAACAGTCACAGAAAATCGTGCGTACAGTCCTCAAAAATTCAAAAACTGTCTAGGAAAGGATGTTGTCCTCCAGAATATCACAATCTGAGTTTCCGGAGATCAAAATGAGGAAGAAGGGGTGGTTCGCTTTCATGGGGGGGGGTCGTTTTCGAAAGACTTGGGCCTGACCTCTTGCTCAACTCTGGGCATAAGTTTCGTTTTCCGCAACAGAGAGGCGGCTGAGCGGCTCGCTCAAAAAATCGAAAAAGGTGCGTCTTACACGCGTAAAATTAGGGTATGGCTGTTGCATGACAAAAGCGCAATATCTTTGGGCGCGAACGCGGCTTTATTAGCCGCAGAGCGCATGAGGTGCGGGATCTACAACGGTGAGGATACCCGCGCGTCGCGTTCGCTCCCGCTTAACTAATATCGCCATTGCGCCTTCGTCATGCGGCAGCCTTTAGTTTATGAAAGATTTTGTTTTGATTCAACCTGATTCAATGCTGGACTTTCAACAAAACACAAAAACCTTTCTTAGTATTCCAGCCGAGTACATATAGAGAGAAGTAAGAAAAAACCCAGTTGATTGAGAAAAGGAATCAACAGAAAGCAAAGTGTCAGCTAACACTGTAATTGAACTTTAACTTTCATCCAACTTCAAGTTGAATGATCCAGTCAGGTCGAAACTTTTTGCCGTGATTTATCAAATGAAAATTGTCTCGACCACTATCGGAAGCGGAGGTGATCGTTTGATTCCATCATTTGATTCAGGCTTGGAAGTCGTCCGAATGAATCAGATGCAAGGATGAAAGAGGAAAAACTGCTTTTGGAGCAAAATCACGATTATTGTTGGGAAAGGCCCTTGAATTTTTATCTTCACGTTTGGAAGTATTTTTCCGATTTTATCTGGATCTTGACACGAGATTGAGGAAAAAAATGTTTTGTTGGAATATAAGATTTTCGAATATTCTTCGAATAAAAATGTCAATGTGATGCCACGATTCACAACGATCTTCCTCTTAAAATTCCAAAAATTTCTTTACAACCGTCATAGGGGTAGGCTTTTAGATTTCCAAGTTGTCTTATGTCACACTAAGCCGTCTTTTAACCATAAATTGTAACATAAAAATTGTCTATTTCAAACACTTACATGAAACAACGCACTGTAAGATATTTTGTTGTCTCATAGGCAGTCATCTCATTGACATTTTCATTCGAAGAATATTCGAAAATCGAATAGTATTCGAAAACTGAAAAAAATTCGGAAAGCGAATAATGTATCAATG